TTCCGTCTTGCATTTGTGGGCACCCAACAAATACGTCCACCCTGCGAGAAACTCCTCCAAGAGGCGACTCCAGCCCGCAGGGGCCATAGGCCTTCTTTCTGCAGGGGCAGCCTTCTCCCGCGGTCTTCCACCGACTCAGGGCTTTTCCAACCTACACACTGCAGGGGCAAAGCAGGGGTGGCTTCTCGTCGCAACACACGGCTCTCGGTTGTCCTCGACGGCCTGCCGCTCCCCTCACGCTCTGGAACCCTTGGTGGCCCGGGTCCTGCACGTGGACCTCCACAGCGCTCACTCCGCATCCGGTCAGGCTTGTCTTAGGCCTGCAGGGTTGACCTCAGGGTTGACCTTGGGTACAGAGTGGCCTGAGCAGCATCTCCGCGTTGAAGAAACCCTCTGTCTGAGGCCGGTCCTTTCCATGTAGCCAGGAGCACGCGGGCCACCACCGACCGGCCAGGGGAGTGCCGGCGCCCTAGCGCGGCAGACACCGTCCCGGGCCCACACTGGCCTAGGCCACAGCCGGTTCCGCTAAAACGACTCTGGGTGCGGCCACCCCGGAGCCCTGGCTCCCAGCTACAGCCGGCCCGGCGGGCCTGGACCCAGAGGGTGGGCCGGAACTGCGGGGGTGGGGCGGCAGGTGCGGAGCTGCCGGGCCCGGGGTGACCTTGCCCCAGCCGGGCTGAGGGGTGGGTCTGCGGCCAGGGCCAGGGGGAGGTGCGAGGGCAGGCGGGCGGCAGGTTGTCCCACGTCCCCGCCCCCGCTGTTCCTCCCGCCGCCCGCGCTCGCTCTCCGCTGCCCTCTCGCCAGCTCCAGGCGCCTTTGTGCTGGCCCCGCGCCCGCCCCCTGGGGGAACCAGGCCCCGCCCCCTTCGGCGATTGGCCAGCGTGCAGCCGGTGGGCGGGGCCCGCGGCGGAGGCGCGGTATATGTAGAGGTGGGGTGTGCGCCCTCAACCACCTTCTAAGCTCCTGGCCAGTGCGCGCGCGTACCTTGCTTGCAGCCCCCTGCTCCCTTCGTCCCGCAGACCGTCTCTTGCCCCTCGCCCCTCGGCCCTCGCCCCTCGCCCCTCGCCCGTCCCCGCCGAGGCCGCAGGAGGCGGGGATTCCGCGCGCGTCCCCAGCGGCGGCTCCGCGAGACCCCAGCCCCGCGGGCGAGAGCGTGCGTGGCGTACCCTGCAGTCGGCGCGGCCCGGTCCCGCCCCGGTCCCGCCCCGGCCGGCGCGCGCGTCGCGCACTCGGGCATCGGGCACCGCAGCGCGGCGTGAGCCTGCGGAGACCCCGCCAGGGACGCCGGAGCTGGGCGTCTGCCTCTGCGGCTGCCGACCGTCACCATGGCCCGCGGGAAAGCCAAGGAGGAGGGCAGCTGGAAGAAGTTCATCTGGAACTCGGAGAAGAAGGAGTTCCTGGGCCGGACCGGCGGCAGCTGGTGTAAGTCCGGGTCGGGTCGGGTCGGGTCGGGTCCCCAGGCTGTGTGCAGAGCTACGGTCTCGTCTCAATGTGGGCATCGGAGCCCTTCCCTCCCGGGAAAACTCAGGCTCCGGGACCCCGGGTCTGTCTCCCTGTGGCCACCTCCCAGGTTCCTTCAAGCCCCAGGTTTGGAGCTGCGAGGGAAGCCCCGGAGGTTGGGTGGAATGCAGACGAGGCCGTGTGCCTGAGCATCTTTCTTGTGGTTTATGGCCATGGCATCACAGCCCAGAAATGGCCCGGCAAGCTCCCAGACCGGACTCATGAGCCCGAGCCTGAGCCATGGCCGGAAACATGGCCAAGTTTGATTGTTTTCAAGGTCCCCATGGACAGGTGCAGCAGCTCAGTAGCTTGGTTTGATGAGTCAAGGGTTAGTGTAATAAATATTGTGCACGGCACGAATGCAGAAACAGCTAGTCTTCGGAGATTTTGCAGCCTGTTGCTTCGTTGGATGGACTCCTCAACTCCATTGAAAATTAGATACCTTACTGGTTTTTGCCTCCCTACGCCGGAAGGATGCCTTTTTTTAAAGGTCATTCTGAAGGGCAGAGTTGTAGGCAAATCTATGAGTCGTGACTGCAGAAAGGAGGGAGGGAACTCCCTCCCCGATGCTGCATCGCTGCCCTCTTCTTCTCCAATATCATCATCATCATCATCACCATCACCGCAGTCGCTAAGGGAACCCTGAAAAGGGGCCGCTGCGCTGTTCCTATTTGTGAGGATCTGTTGGAATCAGTAGAAGAATGAGTCAGGGAAATAGTGCTTGGCTGACATTTTGAAATGGAAGAAGCTGGAATATATGGTTTTTGTAAGGAAAAAAAAATGCAGCCCCTCAAGACTGAAAAGTAAAGGGTTAATAATGCATCATACGTCAAGGTTAGTCAAGGTGAAGCCTCGTTGGTGTTACTGGGAGGCACAGGTATCCCTGAGCCATGGGGAATAGGGTTTGTTAGAGTAATGGCTTTTTATTTCGTCTTTCATTTTATTTGGGGGAGACTGGTCTTCAGTGGGGTTATGATCCTAGTGTCTCAGGCATATAGAAGGGAAAATCTGAAGGATTGTGAGGTGTCCACGGTGAAAAAGCTCCCGGCTAGGGCCACTGCCTAGCAACTCCTTGGAACCTGAGTGAGGCCCAGAGGTGCACTGCGGAACAGGGCCTCCCACCCCGTCAGCTGGGGCTTCTGTCCCTGGTGGTTTCTGTCCCTGCTCCAGGTCTCCGGGTGCACCAGGTCTCCGGGCCATCGGCTGAATGAACCCCAGACGCATTGTGTAATTTTCCCTCTAGTGTTTTTCCTATCATAAATATATTTCTTTCCTCATTCCAAGTCCATGCTTCTTCTTAAGATAATATTTGCTTTAGAGGGTAAGGCAGTGTGGACAGCTCGTTCTTTAAGCCTTGATTTAATGAAGCAGCACCTTCTTGATGTCCCATCCAGCAAGGTACCAACAGGCTGATTTATGAATGCAGATGTCTCTTCTTTCCTTCCATTTTCCAAGGTGCAGGTGCTGAACTAAAAATGCAGGTTTTTGTTTTGTGCTAACATGTCTGCTCCTTCCTGGCAATGTGAGGAATGACAGAGCCTTTCTTAGGCAGAGGAAGTGGCAACAATGGCTGTCTCATAGGTATAAAATGCCCCTTTTCCATCTCTGGGCCCAACATGGATGTCCTTGGGATGAGGGCAAAATGCCCTTGGCTCAGTTTTGCTTATAGGTAGATTTTTTTCTTAAACCAAGATGGATGCAGGAGACTCGAGCCTGTCACCTGGTGGAGAAATCACAACATACAAATCACTTTGTGCTTTCTACGTTTTTATCAAGTTAATACAGGCATTGGTGGTATTTTGTGTTTATAACTGGGCCCAGATATCTTTTTTTCTGCCTGTGACCTTTTGAAGGGTACAGTTTTTTCCTAACTGAAAATCTCTATAGTACTTGTTCTCTACAAAGGAAAGAAAAATTGCTTCAAAGGGAAAATGCCTCTGAAGTTTACCCGCCCCTCCATGGTGCCACCCAGGTAGTCAGTGCAACTTATCCCCCAGCTTTTTTTCTTTTTTTTTGGAACAGCCCCAGCTGGCCTGTGACTGAGAGAGCCCACTCATAGGCCCGCCACACTCACAACCAGGTGACCTCACAGAGTAACCGGGCGATGCTGCTCAGTAACATCTTGTAGGGGAAAATTCCTCCCTTCTCCTAGGGTGTCCGGTGGGCAGAGTGGAAAGGCTGTGCATTCTTGAGTTTAATCTGTGTGTTTGCAAAATGACTTATTTTTTCCATTGCTCTACTGGTATTTTAAACGGTAGCCTCAATGATGAGGTTCCTGTGTTGTTAGAAGTAGGCATTTGGAGTCCAAGGAATGTGTATAGAAATGTTGGAGTTATTAGAAGAAGGAAATGTGATTTAAGCTAAGCACACCAAGAGGACATTGGGAAGGAAGAGACTGCGAATCGGGGCTGCGGGGAGCTCTCTGCCTAACTGTGTTGTACCAACTCTTGCACCTCTTCAGGGCATTCACTGGAAAAATTTTCCAGATCTCTTGACGTCACAGCCTTGCCATTTGCCTACTGCTGCCTGGTTACAGAATGCAGCACTTAACCCTTGTCCTCCAGCGGGGCAGCTCTGTAGCTCTGCGTTATGCAGCCTTTCAGTCTTCCTTGTCTTCCCTTTTGCCTTTGCCCTTTTCTTTGTTCTTTAATAGAGGAGAAAAGGGATTATTCTTAATCATGTTTGCGGTGGCTTTTATGTGTTTTGCTTGTTTTTAACAACTCTACAGCGTGATTGTCCGGGGCTGTTCCTGATTGGCAAGTGGGCTGCTGTGTGTCTGGTGAATTCCCACAATCCTGTGCCCCCCCCCCCCCCCCCGCAGTAGTCTACTTTCTTTGCAGTAATACTTTTTTGTTCTGTGGTTTTGCCCTGCGGCCCTTGGTGCTGAATACCTGAGATGTGGACCCTTTGGAGGTGACCGAAGTCTCCTTGGGGCAGTCTTCCCTCTGCGCCCATACCTTACCGTTTGGCATGTTCCACTTTTGCATTCACATCGAGTTGTTTGGCCCACAGGACTGCCAGGCAGTGCCTGGTACCGCCTGTTACCCCGGCTAATCTGGGCGAGAATCCTGGTAAACCGGTAACTCATAGCCCATTTCAGTCTACCAACTTTTTTTTTTCCCCCACTTTCAGCTACTTCATCCTCTGTCCTGTCAGTCATGACTCTGGTGCCAATCAGGAGGTGAAAGGAGAAATGTGTGGGCCAGTCTTATGTAGGATTTCCTTTCTTTGTTTTCTTAATGTACCCCTTCCCCATGAAAATGAAGACACGTTCAGCCAGTCTACACATTAAAAGTGGAGTGGTAGTAGAGAGGAGAGCAGTTTCTCTGCATTCATTGCTTTCTCACCCATCCTGGTATAAAAACTCTCAAGCACTTGAGCAAATGGAGGAGCAACAGAGGCTGGCTTGCAGTAGTTTGTGTCAGGGGATAAGCAAACAAAGAAAATACGTCTCCAAGGGACCCTGTCATATTTTAAATGTATTGCATAAGCACTCAAACATGGCTTTAGATTTTTCCGGTGATCTTTATGTATTTATTTTTTTAGGGAACAAATTTATTTCCAACAGAATCTTGGTTGTATTTGAACCTTTTCCCACCTCCAAGCTCTAAACAAGACTGAGGTTCACTCTCCTCGTCACTGTTGCCTCAGGACACTGTGGAGGGCCTCGCTGGAGAAGCCTGTTCCTCGGGAAGGGTGGATGGTGTGTGTGCACGTGACCCTATCACGCCTGTGCCTGTGTTCTCCTCGTAGTTAAGATCCTCCTGTTCTACGTGATCTTTTATGGCTGCCTGGCTGGCATCTTCATCGGAACCATCCAGGTGATGCTGCTGACCATCAGTGAACTGAAGCCCACCTACCAGGACCGGGTGGCCCCGCCAGGTAAATCCTGAGAAACAGGGTTTGTTCCTCCAAAGGTTGAAGGAATGCACGTCCCTTTTTCAATGAGAGGGGAAAATAAACACCTTTGGAAATTTTTCTGTAATGTAGTTTACAACCCAGCATGGAAAAGAAAAACAGGAACTTATCTCGGCTGCAGCCGGGTCTCCTACCCACATTGCAGGCGGAGCTCCTGGGGTTGGAGATGTCGTATTTACACAGCTCTGGAGGGAGGGTGACAGGCTAGTCCTTGCCCCTTCCTGCCTCTCACTGGCTCTGTGACCCAGCACAGTGGCTCTGAGGCCTTCGTGTCCCCAGCGTCCCTGGCCCTAGGGCCCCCAAGGCCCGGTTAGTGGGATCACTGTGGGGCCTTGCCAGCTCCCACCCCCACATCTCTCTCTCTTGAGGGGCTAACTAGATGTAGATGAATCTTGTAGCAAAGACAGCTTGGTTCCCGTTTTAAAAGGTTGACTTATTTTTAGGGATGACTAGAAGCTCTTCGACAGGCCAGCTTCGTGCAGGGAGGGGAGCTGGACTGCAGGGGTCCACTCTCCCACCTGCTATTGATTTGCAGTTTGACCTCGAACAAAGTCACTGTACTTCTCAGTATTTATATCTGTTTGTTTAACGAGCCCCGTTTACTGGCTTTGGGAACCCTCTTTGCAGTTTTAACTGTTTCTGTTAGCTCTAAAAACTTACGAGAACACAATGATTATCATAGAAAACGCACACTACCACCAGGCCCATATGGTCATGCAGGCGGTGCAGGCCCATAATCCCAGCACTCTGGAAGGCTGAGGCAGGACGATCACAAGTTTGAGCCTAAACTGGGCAACTTAGTGACTTAGCAAGACCCTGTCTCAAAATAAAAAATTAAAAAAGGGGCTAGGCATATAGCTCAGTGTGAAGGCCCTGGGTTTAATCCTTAGTGACCCACTTCCCCAAAAGAGGAAAATGTAAACTTCCACAGGAGTCTTCTGCTGTGATTTGGGTGTCCACACCAGTCACATGATGTGTGGAAGGCCCACTGCCATTGTCCCTGCGGTGACAGGGACAGCAGTAAACATGAATTTACCATCTGACTCTTGTAAAAATTGTCTGGAGGATCTAGAGAGGGGAAGTGTTGCATAACCTCCAGATTCCCCTCTTCAGATGACCTTGAGGTTGCCGCTGGGGGGAGGGTGCCAGTGACTCGATCCTGCTCTGTTTCCCCTGTGGCACTAGTTTAATGACAGCTATACATGGGGGACAGTCTTGAAACCATGTGCATGGCCAAGCGCCACTGCCTGTGGGAAAGACGAAAGTCTTCAGAAGGTGGAGGTGGCAACATTACTAAGTCAAATAGTTTTAAACTGTAAGAAAAACCCCAGATGTTGCCCAGTAAGTTTAGGTAGGAAGTGGAAAAATGAGACATGTAAGTATATAAAATGACTCAAGCTTGCTTCATAAACCAGTTTCCAGCAGCTGTGTCCCCCAGGAGAGTGGGTCTGGGGGGAGTGGGCGTTGAAGCAAGGATTCTGATTGTGCAGAGAAAGTTAGGACCTTAAGCAAACATGTTTCACTTGGGCTTCTGTGACAATAAAGCATAGTTTGTCTTTTCATGTCCTTTTCTATTAGAATTTTTTCGGAAGCTTAATAGTAGTAGAAATGTAGTATTGATCTTTTGTTTTTGTTTTGGCACCTAAAAGTTATTCTTCCATCCTGATGTTTTATTTATAATTCTTTCACTCAAAGCCAGAGGTGACTGTAAAGTCAAACATTTTCTTTCATTTCCCAGATTTAAAACAAATGGTCCTTTACCCTATAAACTTTGGAGATTTGGCCTTTTAATAAAGTAACAGATTTTCTCCATACTCCAATGAAAGGGAAATTTCTCCTCTGAAAATAAATGGCCCAAGGGCCCAGCTCTGAAAGTGAGAATTTGCAGATGACCTTGCCTTAACCATCGGGGTGCCCTGTGCTTTCCACACCCCCTTCCTTCCAGCCCCCCTTCTCAAAAGACATGTTCTTAGTACCTATATTTAGTGTGCTCTCAGCAGTTGGACTGACCTGACAAACCCTCACTTCTCCAAAGGAATGCTAGTGGCTCATCTTGGAAATATGCACTCCTGTCCTTTGGTCTGAGTCACAGGAGAAGTCTTCAGTCCCCTGTTGTCTCCTCTGAGTACTGTCTTGGTGATGTCCCTGTCTTTCTTTTCCTTATCCGTTGCATTATCCTGAGATCCTAGACCCCCTCCCTGTCAGGTTTTTCCTGTGCCTCTATCAAGTGCTGTGACATTCATTTGACCATGATGGTAACCTTCTGCTAGGTGAGTGAGTGCTGGCCGAGTGCTGGCCGCCGAGAAGCACAGCCTTTGGATGGTCCCTGAGGGCCTAAGGAATCCTACTGGACCCTCCCTGCCTTGGCATCTTTCAGAGCTGATGTTCAGAGTTCATATTCTGGAGAGATAGGACCAGTTCCTGAAGTGTGTGCACTGAACAAATGCATGGAAGAAAATCTTGACAAGTTTTTGACTTCACTTTACTGTCTCTAATCCTCCTTTTTTTATAATGGTTAATGACAGAAAATTGACCTGGGCTTGGTGGTACATTCCTGTAATCCTTGGAAAGCTGAGGCAGGAGGATGGGAAGTTTGAGTCTTGGGAAATTTAGCAAGTTAGTAAGACCCTGCCTCATAGCTTAAGAAAGGGCTGAGGATGTAGCTCAGTGTCAAAGGCCCTGGGTTCCAGCTCCAGTGCTGGGGGAAAAATATTGTACTTCAGATGCAGCTAGTAAGTGTGAAAGCCTGTATCATTTAAGGATAACAGAGCTTACCGTAAGCTGTTGTCTGGTGATTCTGAGGCGTGAATGCAAACTGGCCACTGGGTTCTGAGTGTCCTCTCCCCATTCGGTCTCTTCCTCATGAACATGGTCAGGTGAGACAGTGGCAGTTGGGTGGAGCAGTTGGGTCTGAGGTCTGTACTAGTGCTCTGGATAAGGGGATAGGCCAAACATGAAAGTCAAGGAGAGGACTGAACTGCAAAATGGAAGGGAAATTGGAAAAAAAATGGATAACACAGTTTCTTGACCCTGTGCCTGGTGGCATTGGTGCGTGTAATGTTCCTTATAAGGTGTTGTTGCCATGTGATGTTAGAAGAACAAGGCGTAAGGCGACAGACTCAGCTGAAATACTAAGTTCAGATACATTAAACTCCAATTTCTCGGCAGGCTGAGGCAGGAGGATCGCCACGAGCTTGAGGCCAGCCTAAATTGCACAATGAGACCTTATCTCAAAAAACCTAAATAAATAAATAAAAGGAAAAAGTGCTATTTTCATAGCTCACAAAGGTTGATCGTTGGCAGTTTCATGTTGCCTCACCTAAATATGGAAGCAGCTCCTGAGCCCCTGGGCCCCATTACATACCGGTTCGGGGTCAAGTCGACCTGAGAAGGAAAAGGAAGGACTTTGGCTTTGGATGTGGTTTCCGCCCACCCTTCAGTGATCCACACCAAGCCTCAGTTTTCTCATCTATGAAATGGGAGTTAATTCCCCATGATGATTAAGTGAGGTGATAAATGTTTAAGGCAAAAACTACTTCATGGCGACACTTATTCACTAAGGGTAGCTGTTGAAAGCAACCTCTGTTATTTCTAGCCCTACCCTTCCCCTAAAAGTAGCAGTCTCTTCATTTTGAACGCCAAAATTTCAGACTGAGCTTTGGATAATGCAGCAGGGATACGGCATCAATAAAACCTTAGCTCTCCATGCAAAGTGCTTGGGAAAGGCTGGTTAGGAACCACATTGGAAAAGAATTTCAAGTGACGGACTAGCATAGTATTTGTCCTACAGTCCCTCCCCCGAGGACCCGTACCATTGGCAGCTGTCAGGCTGTCACCCAGAGGAGGCCTCTCTCAGAAGTCTGCCGTGGTGGGCAGCAGCCTCTGTCCATCTGTCCCTGCAGCTGGACCCGGGCGAGGAGGGCTGGGCAGGCGCACACGCCTCGCTCACTTCTCTCCCCGAACCAGGCGCACTCTGCTTTCATCAGGCCCCAGCGCTGCCTGGCAGTGGAGTCCTGGCCTCCTCCTGTCTGTTGTCACCCCCCCTCCACCCACTAGGACTCACTCAGCAACTGTAGGGAACGGAAGGTGACTGTCTGACCCGGGCAGAGGACTCCCACTGGCTGCTTCCTGCTAAACGGGTGAGGTGTCCCCACTGTGCCTTGTCGGTTGTGGGTGGCTTTCTGTTTCGCTCTTACCGATGGCTCAGTGGGGACAGATCTCACTGCAGAAGGGTCATACACCTGGCACAGTGGTAACCAGAGTCAGGGCAGGGGAGCAGCCCGGACCGAGACCGGCAGCCCACACTGGCACCACGGCTCCTTTCAGTTTCAGTACTCCTGAAAGGGAAAGACCTAATCTCTAAGCGCCTGAGGGTTCAAGCCAGGAATCTCAGCCCATTAAGTAAGATCCCTGAGAAGTCATTTTACGGCAGTCTCAGAAAAGCTCCCTTTTCCCCTAAACTTCATTATATTTCCATTTCTCTCCCAGGTTTGGAAAGGGAGATTATTTCAAAGTACTACTGAGGTGTTTTTCTGCGGCCTCCTGTTAGAACCCACTGATGGGTAATCTCAGTGACAAACTCTTTGTCCCTCTCCTGCCTTCAGCTGGGTCCTGCTAACCTCTTCCCAGAGTTTGAGGTTGCGGATGAGCTAGCACTGGTGCCAGTTTTGGTTTCCAGAAGCTGCTGTCTGGCCTGTGGTTTGGAAAAGGCCTAGGGTGGGGAATTCTGGCTTCCACAACACAGCTACCCATGTAGCTGTTTCATTCTTTTTAAAGACAAGGATGCAACTCGTAAGTCACCTATTGGGTATGCAGGAAGCTGAATGAATAACTTAAATTCTGTCCTAGAAAGCAGGCATGGTAGTACACACCAGCCATCCTAGCATCTGGGAGGCTGAGGCAGGAGGATTGGCAATTAAGCCCAGCCTGGGCTGCATAGTGAGACCCTCCGAAAAAAAATAAAG